ACTAAACGACTATTTGCAACTTATATCAAGGTATTTATCCTCGCGCGAATTAAACATGAACTCTCTCTCATTAATACGGGTAATTGGGTAGAAAGTAGATATGTTAACTAAATCGATTGTATATAGCTTAAATAGAACAATAAACGGGCATTATGTATAGATTATGTAGAGTGTAATTCCTCTAATTCTCTCCTTCCGCCTCCATCCCAGAACTAAGAGTCCACATACGCGACTGCTTGCACGTAAATTCGAACGTAATGGTCTCTGTGTCTACCCAGAAGACACAGTGGTGTCAGTCCTGATAAATTTGTCATTGCTGTCTTCGCCGACGCAATGTTGACCCTTTGGTCCTGTGGTGCCGAAGCATAGAGGGGGAACTTCGGCATTGTCACATATAGACAATAGCACTGTCAATAATAAAATGCAAGAAGATGAAATGATTATTACAGAAAAGATGAAGGCAAAGCAAATAAGTGATGATTCCAATGTAACGATTCAGAGAGAGAAAACACGATTGAGTCTCAGGAAGTTCTTATACCTATAGAGCCAATACCAAAAAAGATAGAATCTGTAGTGACTTGCGGCGGTCGGCAACACTGTGCCTGACCACCGTCCCCAACCCGCGTGACGTCAGAGGTCGAGGTTGACACTTTTTGGGTCGACGTGTTCAGGTTCGGACGTTCATCTCGTGCAGTCCGACCTTTGTCTACATGATCGGCATTGTTCTAACCTTCTGTACATACATTTGTAATTATCGGTAAATAAACTAGTGAAAACAACATTCGGATCCTTCCTTCAATCCTAGAATATCTAACTCAACTCCACAACAATTCCGTTCGTGGATGAGATCGGATTGAGCAATCTAACTGATTTCGACCATTTAGAGGAACCATTAACAGTCCCCTCAGACTATAAGAAACAATGCAAAATTGAGTTTGGAGAAACAAGCTGAAAAAATGAAAGCCACATCTGTTGATAAATATCCAAATGTGAAAATTGGCCAAAATGTAAGACTGAAAGTGCTTGAAATTGACAAAGCTAAAACCAGCCTGAAAAGCATTATTTGCAGTTGTAGTAGATGTAAATGAGTTTTACCAACTAGGTACCAAAATTAGAGTAATAAAACAGTTTTATACACAAAATCAATTTACCTCATGCCTGAAGACTTTATCAAGATAGAAGAAGTTGTTAAAGATAAAGAAGTGACCCTTTGAGAAGTTGTCGCAAAATTGTCTTTGACCGGAGGACAAGGTTTCAAGAAATGCAACTGCCAAAAAAGTGCATAACAAAGAAGTGCACTTGCAAGTTATCAAGATTACTTTGTAATTCTAAATGCCATGATAGCTCCATGTTGTAACAAGTAAAATCCTTTTTTTACTTTTATTAAATAACAATGAATACCAAATGATTAGAAAAACTACTGTGATACTAAAAACTGGATAAACAAATTTCAATTTGGGTTTGTTAAAGACCGATCAACTTACCATGCTATACACACACTACTTTATGACATCAGGGAGGCACATAAGCAAGGGCAACATTCTTTAATGGTAACTATAAACTTCCAAAAATGCCTTTAATACTTTATGGTGGCTGGCACTTTTTGAACAACTGAGGATGGCAAATTGTCCAAATAATTTGTATCGAATTCTGAAAGACTACTTAAAAGACAGGACAGTGGGAGTATATAATCAACGGGGCAATACTGTCAGACCGATGACCAAAGGTTGTCTGCAGGGGTCTCGGTCTGGTCCAGGCCTGTGGAACATACTATACAATGACCTTTTAAATCTGAATAGAAATGACAATGACAATTGGAAATTATTAGGATATGCGGACGATACTGTTTTGTTAACATCCCATCAAAATGGGGAAAAATTACAAAAAAAGACGAATAATCTGTTGAAGAATATTTGTAATTGGAGCCAAAAGTATAAATTGGAAATTAATTACCAAAAATGCAAAAATACGGTCATATCAAAGGGCAAACCGCTTCAAAAAGCCTTTAATATCAATATCAATGGACACAGAATTAAGAATAAGAAAGAAATAAAATACTTGGGTTTTGTGATTGATCAAAGTCTTACATGGAAGAAACATTTGGATTATGCAAAAAGTAAAGCAAGTAAAGTAACCAATGCATTACTTAGTATAGCACAAAAAAATTGGGGTTTCAACCAAAAAGCACTCAAATCACTCTACAAAGCCTGTGTGAAACCCATGGTCTTGTATGAAGCCCCGTTTTGGGGAATGGAAGTAGAAAAAGCATATTTCAAAAAGAAGTTACAAACAATTCAACACCCTTTACTACTAAGGATCTGTAGGGCATACAGAACTACATCTAATGCTGTTCTACAAACTCTCTCTGGTATAATGCCCTTGTACTTAAAAGCTAAGTTTACTGTGTGGTCTTGGATACTCAACAACATTAAACATACCAAGGAAGGTACAGACGATCTTAAGAAGTATGCTGTTATAGGTGTTTTTTGTACAAAACAATATATACTAATATTACTTGTATTGGCCTTATATTGTTTTGTACAAAAAAAGTTAATTGTAATTTTAGGATTCCTACAAATGTGTACAATGTTTACCACCCCTACCCATGGAAATATTATTGTAATTACCACCAGTAGTTTGTAAGTTTTTCTCCAAAATTTATAATTTTGGTGTATATATACATCTATGTCGTGTTTTAGTTAAACATTTTACGTTCTTTGTTATTGTTTTAGCACTGAAGAGGGACTGGAAAATATTAGACCAGCCTGAAATGCATTTGATGTAGTCTTTAAAAATAAATTTAATTTGCCAATAAAATTGCTGTGAGATTTGTCTACCAAGAATAATTTTGGGTTACAGAGACTAAAATCGTCATATTAACATCATTGTTATCTTTCTGTAACTCTTTATTACTCCTTAAGCTAAGGAATAAATTTGTACATATTGTAATATCTTGTAAAAACTACACTTTTTATTCTGAAAATAATAGCAGACGCAAACGTCATGAATCTCCCCTTTCACCATCTTTCCTATCTCACTTTTATTTCATCTTCATCTCTACTCTACTAGTACTTTCCTTTACTCTTCACCCTCAGGCAATACCCATGGGTAGTCCCTAGTCTTCATCCCCTTTCCACTAAAATGTGATTACTGATTAGCTTACCAACGTAGGCCATTATATTATTTTTGACAAGATAATTTAATATTTGTAATGTTAAAAAAGTATTTTTAAACTGTTTCACTAGTTATTAATAAATAGGACTTAGTAAGTTGACTGTTTATAATAACTGCAATAAATGATTATTAAAATACTCATAGTTTTATTTCCAAAACCAACATTTACTAATCGTCTTTAGTAAAACCTAGCATGTACCAAATTCTAATGGTAAAAGCCCGGAAAATCATCTCACTTTATAAAAATCCTTACATTTACCAACATGAGTTGGTAAATGTACGGCTTCGGATTTACTGAAGATTTTACTGAAGATTTTACCAACATGAGTTGATAAAATCTTCGGATTTACCAACTCATATTGGTAAATCTGAAGATTTACAAGTAACACCTAGGATTTACCAATATACGAGCTTTTACAACTGAAATTTTGTCCACTACATAATTGACTTTTGTCTACAATATAGCTATGCAGTAACAGATCTCTGAAATAAGGTAAAAATACATTGACTTGGCATCTGGACTTGAAAAAAAACATAAGTGAACTGCAGATACTTTCTCAAGGTTAACATGATTTTACTCTATAGTAATTGTGGTTTTATGTCATAGTGTAATTTTCACTTAGTCATAGTTTTAGCATCTTTCCTTTGTTCTTTGTTCCTTCTTACTTCTAGGACTTTCTATTCTTACTCTACTCTCTTGGGTGGTGAAAGCCAATTCATGAAACCATGCAAACAAAGAGGGGAAAGGCTACCTGAGGGCATGTTTGGAGCGAAAGAGGACTTCTTCTCGGATGGCCTTTGTGAAGTAGAGATGGAGGAGATCATGCCAAGTGTCATCGAGCATCAGCAAGGCTGGTGAAACCAAACTGACAGGAAAAAGATTAATGAACTTATTGAAGTGATGACACAGCGAGTCTTGAATCTATAAAAAGAAAGATGGCGACTCAAAACCAGTCCAAGTGAGTTTCATTTGAACTGATTTTGGACTCTCATGGAATTTGTGTAATGTTCATACATCCCAGGTTTTCAATTCTCTTCTGTTAACTATCTCGCTATCTCTTACCTACTCTTTCTAACTTCCTTCTTCCTTACCATAAGTTATTCAATTACTTGAGCTTGGTTCCTGTACACCTCATGATATTTTGTCATAGTTTCCTAACATTTTGGATTTTTGGGTGACGCCTTGTTTCTTTTTCTTGATTCCACACTCACTGTGTCATCACTTCAGTAAGTTCATTAATTCATTTCCTGTCAGTTCAGTTTCACCAGACACGCTGATACTTGACAACACTTTGCATGATCTCCTTCGTCCCTACTTCACAAAGGCCAGCCGAGAAAAAGTCCTCTTTCGTTCCAAACATGCCCTCAGGTAGCCTTGCCCCTCTTTGTTCGAAAGGTTCCAAATTGGCTCTCACCACCCAAGAGAATAGAGTAAGAATAGAAAGTTCTAGAAGTAAGAAGGAACAAAGAACAAAGAAAAATGCTAAAACTATGTATGACTAAGCAAAAATTATACTATGGAGTCATATAATAAACTTTTCAATATAATGGACAAGTCCTTAAATTAATAACGAACAAACATGATTAAACAAACTTTTATTACAATGAACCAATTTCTTCAGTCCCATGGTGGTCCATTATATCAAGTTTTTATGGATATTTTATTTAATTTACAAATAAATGATGTTGCCAACTGTTAAAAAATTTAATAATTAAGTAAATTACATATTTAATTAATTTCTAGTTTAATCTAATATAAAATCCAAATTAAAAATAATTACTCAAAAATATTTAGTATTTAAAACAGATTCTTTTGATGTACTTACCTGCCAAAGCGATATCAAAGGAGTTTGATAAAGCGGAACCCTGAGTGGCACAATTATCACCAGATCAAACAGCAGACCCATTAACAATGGTATAACTCCTAATAATATACTCATCGCTACCAAAGATTTAGATNATGGGCTGAAATAAACTCACATCCCAGTTGTAATCATGTTTTCTAAGCTATAAATTACTGTATGCAATATACCATGCAAACATGATTAGATCTGCAGATTTAAATTATCCCATGGGCTGAAATAAACTCACATCCCAGTTGTAATCATGTTTTCTAAGCTATAAATTACTGTATGCAATATACTCAAAATTGTAATTTTGTACATTAACACATGACATTTCTTGTAGTTCATGTTACTTTCTTAGAATTATTTTTAGCTTTAATTTAATGGATCCTGCAACCACTCACACCAACATGTATGAAAAACTAATTTTGCAAAATAAATCCACATTCAAATAGAATTGCAGATTCATAATAATAATAATAACTACTCAAACTCAACAAATTTAAAAGAATAGATTAACAGCAGATCAGTTAGAGTTTGTGCAATATTCATATTTTATATAATCTAATACATTATAAAACAATTATTTTTTTAATATGAAAAAATATACCATAATTGATCGTTTCCATTACCAATTTCTGAGGATTTTTTAAGCGTAAAATTCTGGCTTTTTTTTAGTAACTTACATCACACAAGAAACTATTATTGATATAGACCAGTGTTTCTCAGCCTCTAACGAACTTCAACAAAACCGTTACGTAGTATCACTCCCTTCACTACAAAATTCCAATGCCGAGGGACAAGGCTAACGCCAAATTTGTACTGCAGCAAATAGACTAGTAACTAGTATAATGTCGTTTGTTTAATTATTATACGATATAACGAATAAAATATCTAATTATTCTTAATAAGATGTTTTACTATATCGCTCAGAAAATTGTTTTTTGCCCCCAAAATATAAATTGTTACTAATTGCCCCCTCAACATGGAAAAATGCCCACATGGGGGCGATATCGCCCCCATTGAGAAACACTGATATAGACTTTATTACTGGATGTGGATATGCTATTTCAGGTCTCAAGACCTGAAATGCATATCCACATCCCCTCTTCAGTCCTTACTTTTTACACAGATCTTATTAAAATAAATAATAGTTATAAATTAAATCATGCATATGTGTTTACAGAGAATATTTACAAAAAATTTTTTCTACTTACATTAGCTAATTATTGCATACAAATTGAAATAAAAATTAGGCAATTAACTGGATATATTATAAACATTAAAAAAAAAATGCTGCGTAAAATAAAATTAAAGTAGATAAATAAAGAAATAAAATTTCCTTTAAAAAATAATAAAATTTAATTTAAATTGGTATTACCTGTAGATTAATTATGTAAAAATTATGAATTTGTAAAATTTACAACAAATTTTAAAACGTTAAAAAATTTTATAAATAAAAATTAATAAACTAAATAGTTTTGCAATAGAAACTACAAAACATGTGATGTCAGAGAAAAGACTTAGTTTTCTAATAAAAGCATTAAGATTTAATGATAAAGCAACAAGAAATGACCACTGTAATACTGATGTGAGAGCCCAGAGTTGACGATCAATTTCTGCAATTTTGCGTGCGAAAATTACTTGGATATTATTTTTCTAAAAATATCGTGGAAATAAGGTTGGTTGATACAGAAACTATTTATCGCACATGTACTGTATATAAGCTTAAAAAAATAATAATATTAAATAAATAAAATAATTTTATCAAACGATGAGATCAGCCGATTAATTGTATTGTGTACAATATTTTATACCCTTAAAGAAAATACTGTAGATCTACAGTAAAATCAATTTCATTTTCCCACAGTTAAACTTCGTTGCTAATTGCCATTGTGATAAACCATTTTCACTTTTTCTGATAATTTTAACACGATCTTCTAATAACACCTGCACCTAATTTCAAGGGTGGGAGAAGTGCCGGAGATGGGTTAGAACAAGAGTTTAGACTAATTCATTGTATTATGAAGGGGAAACATTGTTGAGATGGGTTCAAACAATAGTGTAGACTAGATATATTCGTGGAAGTGGTCACTTATTACAGTTGTTGTATGTTGTTTCGGACCAAAAATCGATGCCTGCGGTCGCGTTACACAGGTGGTCATTTAATACAGGTAACTTATATGAAGGCTCTATGTATAAACTATTCCGTGCCAGAAATTTTTGCCCATTTTGACAGGTGCCCGTCAAATGCAGGTAGTCACCTAAGCAGTTTTCATTGTATATTTAATTAAATTCTTTACATCATTAAATTATGATAAACAGTATAAGCTTAACATTATGGAGTGATCAAAAGTATAGAAAAATTATAAGAAAACTCATTCACCATAACAGACTCCCACTACTGAAGACTATTTTTTGTCTTGCAGACCCTCATCCTTCCGTCATTATGGATTTTTACTCACTGTTTAATTTTGTTACAGCCATTTTATTTAATTTATATGCAAAAACTAAATACAAAAATAACATAAAATTAATTTTTGAATGATTTTTTGGAATAGATTTTCACATTAAGTTTAGTTTTTTCTGTTTTGTTTTCTGATCAACTACTTTTATTCAGTTTTGACTGTTTTCTCTCTATGAGCAGTTTTGCATTTGTTATGTAAAGGAAAGAATTGGACCATTAAAAAAAGTGAAAAGCTTTAAATTTAACACATAAATATATATAATTCATCAGACTGAAGATGAAAAATCTCAAAGTGAAGTTGGTAAAGAAATGTCTCCAAGCAAGCAGACGATTTCAGACATTTGAAAAGCAATAGAAAAACTACAATACATTTTTCTTACAACAATTTTTAAAAAATATTAAAAAAATGAAAGTATTGGGTTTACAGGTTTAATAAAAATCTGGTATATATGTTACTGTAAATGCTTGAACTACAGTAAATCCTAAGATCTTCCAGTAAAACCTAAGATTTATCAAATCTTTGTGGTAAAAGTCCGAAATGTTCTGCAATCATCATTAATTTCGAATTTTTACCAGCAATTACTCGGTATATCTTAGGTTTTACCTCAGAGACATGGTAAATGTTGAAAAAATAGTCCCCGCTTCCTGCATTTTCGCCTTTGTTTGCCTCATTCCATCATTGACGTGTTAAAATGCACACATTAATTCTAATCTTGTTTGAGATTTTGCTGTCTAAAAGTTATTTATGAATCAAGATGAGTAGGAAACGGAGATTTTATGACATAATGGACAAGCTCGTAGCAAGCAAGAAAGATAATAACTTTTATCTCAATAGGGACAAATACGCAAAGTGTTTGGAGGAAGTAAAAGCTGCAAAGAACATGAAAAAGATTAAGAAACAAGCAATCATTACAGGCGTATAAAGTGTTACGACATTTTGACTATAGGCAGCGAAGAAAAACTAATTGCGCCTATGACGGAGGATGGAGAAATAAGGCATTACATTTGTTACGAGGACTTCAATGTTCTCGAAGAAACGCATGTTGCTGTTGGCCATGGTGAAAGGATATGGATGCTTAAGGAATGTAACCGCAAGTATAAAAATGTAACAGTTGAGGCTACTATGACATATTTGAAGCTATGTCAACCTTGCCAAAAGAAACAGAAGACTGAAAAAGGACATTGTCATCAGACTGATACTTCACAGTGAAATGAACTCACGCTGTCAGGTTGATCTAAACTACTCCAGATGGAAATTATAAATTTATTTTAGTTTACCAAGACCATCTTACCAAATTTGTGATCCTTTGTGCTCTTCAAACTAAACGCTCCGTAGAAGTTGCATACCATCTTTTGGATATTTTCACCACTTTTGGAGTGCCGAGCATTCTTCATTCTGAGATTGATTGAGAATTCTCTAACCAAGTTATTGAGAGTTTATGCTCCATGTGGCCAGATGTAAAAATCAATACATGGAAAGGCAAAACATAGCCAAAGTCAAGGATCAATGGAGCGTGCTAATCCAAACAGAAAATATGTTGAGCATGTGGATGGAAACCAATCAGTGATCAAAGTGGTCAGAGGGTTTAAGATTCATGTATGCAATGAAAAATAAAGCATATCATGAGGGAATCAAATGTTCCCCCTACGAAGCAAAGTTTGGTTGTCCAATGAAAATGGGCCTTGCAACTTCAGCAATCCCTAGTGATATGATTAGAGTTATAAGATCTGAAGAAGATTTAGAGAAGTTGTTGCATAAACATGACAATACGGAACAAAATAATGATGTCGAAAATGCAATCGAACAGGACAAGGAAGAAAGCATTGTTGAAAATGAGTCAGAAGGAGATATAGACAATAGCACTGTCAACGATAAAATACAAGAAGATGAAATGATTATTACTGAGAAGATGAAGGCAAAGCAAATAAGTGATAATTGCAATGTAATGATTCAGAGAGAGAAAACACGATTGAGTCTCAGGAAGTTCTTGTAACTATAGAGCCAAATTTATTGAAATAAATTGTTAAATATTTTTTTACGAGGAACAGTTTAGAGAAATAAACAACAAACCGATATTTAAAAAGAACATAAAACTTTTTTCCCACGAACTTAATTCAGTGTTGAGGATGATACATCCAATGTGTCACCCGGAATCTACGAAAACACGAAAGAAAACANAAAAAATACTTGTAAATAAATTTATAAATTTAATAAATTTAAATAATAAATTTGTAATTTATAAAATTTCTGCTGCTGAATATCCTCAATTAATTTGTTAATTCTTGGTTCAATTGTTTGTAATGCTATCCACATGCAGGTATCTAATTGCAATTGATTGCGTTTTTTTGTTTTCATATACAGTGGTGCCTCGTATAACATACACCTCAAATAACGGACTTTGTTTGGCTGTTACGTGACTCGAACAACGGACTGGCTGCGAATGACGGACTTTCCATTTGGCAGTTACTAGAGGCGAACAATAAACTTTCTGCGAACAAGTGCAAATGATGTTTTCACTCTTTTGCCGTTGCCAATGACAATCTGCTATTTTTATAATATATTAGTGTTATCAAAATATAGTGTTATTATATCTGAAGTACAAAGCTCCCGTTGGGATTCAACTTGCTCCC